GAGACGGAGTTTCGCTCTTGTTACCCAGGCTGGAGTGCAATGGCGCCATCTCGGCTCACCGCAACCTCCGCCTCCTGGGTTCAAGCAATTCTCCTGCCTCAGCCTCCTGAGTAGCTGGGATTACAGGCACACGCCACCATGCCCAGCTAATTTTTTGTATTTTTAGTAGAGACGGGGTTTCACCGTGTTGACCAGGATGGTCTCGATCTCCTGACCTCATGATCCACCCGCCTCAGCCTCCCAAAGTGCTAGGATTACAGGCTTGAGCCACCATGCCCGGCACGAATTCCATCTTAAAAGTTAGGTTGGCCTGGCACAGTGATTCAGCACTTTGGGAGGCCGAGGCGGGCGGATCACGAGGTCAATAGATTAAGACCATCCTGGCCATCATGGTGAAACCCTGTCTCGAACTCTGGCCTCAAGTAATCCACTTACCTCAACCTCCCAAAGTGCTGAGATTACAGGCATGAGCCACCACACTTGGCTGACAGTCATGACCTGTTGGGTAAATCCAGGTTTCTGTTCCCTCTTAGGGCTGTGTGGTGTGATGTACTGTTTCTAGGTTATGTGATTGTGTGGTTTGTTGCATTAAATGTTGTGGGTGATTATAACACAAGGACAAATATTTTGTGTATGAAAAAGGAGAAAGAGGAGTCAGTAATGATATTCTGGTATGGAAGACAAGGAGAAATTTCATACCATAATCTAAATAGCAACGTTAGAAGATGGAGCCAGTTAAGTGATATATATATATTAATAAGCTGTTGAGGATCTAACCCCATTTTAAGCCAGTGGGAAGGGAGTAGTACTTAGTGAGAGAAAGATTAAAGATTTGCATTTCTAGCTTAGCAAGTAAGTGTAGTAGAGTCTTATTAAAATGTATATATACAACAATATTCTCTCTAGAGAATTCTGTATAAAAGTCAATATATTGGCCAGGGCACAGTGTTTCACACCTGTGTTTTGGGAGGCCAAGGCAAGAGGATCACTTAAGACTAGGAGTTTGAGACCAACCTGGGCAATATAGCAAGACCCTGTCTCTACAAAAAATTTTTTTTAAAAACCAATTAGCCAGATGTGGTGGCACACACCTCTAGTCCCAGCTACTTGGGTGGCCAAGGTGGGAGGATTGCTTCAGCCTAGGAGTTTGAGTTTGCAGTGAGCTATGATTGGGCCCCAGCATTCCAGCCTGGGTGACAGAGTGACACGTTGTCTGGAGATATATCTTAGAGCTCTGCAATTACCAAAGGGCTGAAAAGACCTTGTTGAGATTGTTCATCTACAAAACAGTTTCTTTAGTGTGTACTTTACGTCAGTGTTGTACTTTGATATATATGGCATCGTTGAAAAAGATACTCCTCATAAGAGAATTTTTCACATAATGAATGATTGCCTTTTAAAGCATTAATACCTTTTAATGATTTTTATCACAGATATTTAAAAAGATGCCTACTTTCCTGGGCCATCTAATGCTAAATACATCCAACATGACTTAATTTCTTTGAGATTCAGGGAAATCATTTTGAATATCAATTATACTGTGCTATTGTCCTGCCATATCCTCTAATGCTCTTCCCATGTTACCTTATTTACTTCTATAAAAAGTTTCTAAAACTCTCTTTTCAGGAGTGTTTAATCAGTCTAAAATAAAATAGCAAAATCTAGTTTAGAAACAATTATGTTAATTTTTATCTTCATTTCTTCAGATGGTATTTTGAAGCAAAAAAGCAATCTAATACTGTCTTCATGTCCATAGGTAGATATCATCTGTGGTGATCACCTGTTGGAGCAGTATCAAACTCTAAGGGAAATCCGACGTGCAATAGGTGATGCAGCCATGCAGGTAGGTTCTAGACATTCCCATGTCTAACAGATAAGTTACTTAGTGAAAGAACAAAGTTCCATGTTATCAGTAAGTTTCCATAAATATTCTACAATTATCTTAAAATTTCCTAGACTATAGGCCGGGCGCGGTGGCTCAAGCCTGTAATCCCAGCACTTTGGGAGGCCGAGGCGGGTGGATCACAAGGTCGAGAGATCGAGACCATCCTGGTCAACATGGTGAAACCCCGTCTCTACTAAAGATACAAAAAAATTAGCTGGGCATGGTGGCACATGCCTGTAATCCCAGCTACTCAGGAGGCTGAGGAAGGAGAATTGCCTGAACCCGGGAGGCGGAGGTTGCGGTGAGCCGAGATCGCGCCATTGCACTCCAGCCTGGGTAACAAGAGCGAAACTCCGTCTCAAAAAAAAAAAAAAAAAAAAAAATAATAATAATAATAATTTCCTAGACTATAAATAATTATATTTAATATTTATCAAATGCTTACTGCATGTCAGGTGCTATTCTAAGTAGTTTAGATTAGCTTATTTATTCTTCATAATTATTCTAAGAAAGCAGGCAGTTGTTTTTTCTTTTTCATTTTAAAGATAAAGGAAACTAAAATACAGTAAGGACATGTAACTTCCTACAGTCAGTGAGTGAGACAGGGCTCAGACTCTAGGCAGTTTGATTCTAGAAGCCTTGGTTTTTTTCTCTATCCAGTGCTATAATAAAATTTTGCGGCCGGGCGCGGTGGCTCAAGCCTGTAATCCCAGCACTTTGGGAGGCCGAGGCGGGTGGATCACGAGGTCAAGAGATCGAGACCATCCTGGTCAACATGGTGAAACCCCGTCTCTACCAAAAATACAAAAAATTAGCTGGGCATGGTGGCGCGTGCCTGTAATCCCAGCTACTCAGGAGGCTGAGGCAGGAGAATTGCCTGAACCCAGGAGGCGGAGGTTGCGGTGAGCCGAGATTGCGCCATTGCACTCCAGCCTGGGTAACAAGAGCGAAACTCCCTCGCATAAAAAAAAAAAAAAAAAAAAAAATTTGAAGGCTATTAAGCCAGTATATCAAAAAGGGCATTTCAAGAAAAACTTGCAAGTACTCATCAAGCTTTAGAGCAAGTTTGTCCAACCAGTGGCTCAGGATAGCTTTGAATGGGGCCCAAAAGAAATTCGTAAACTTTCTTGAAACATGGTGAGATTTTTTTTTTTTTTTTTTTTAACTATCAGCTACTGTTTGTATTAGCTTGCTTATTTATTTATTTGTTTGTTTATTTAAAACAGGGTTCTTGCTCTGTTGCCCAGGCTAGAGTACAGTGGCACTCTCTCAGCTCACTGCAGCCTCTGCCTCCCAGGTTCAAGCAGTTCTCCTGCCTCAGTCTCCCTAGTAGCTGGGATTACAGGCATGTGCCACCACACCCAGCTGATTTTTATATTTTTAGTAGAGACAGGGTTTCACCATGTTGGCCAGGCTGGTCTCGAACTCCTGACCTCAAGTGATTCACTCACCTTGCCCTCCCAAAGTGGCGGGATTACAGGCATGAGCCACACTGCGCCTGGCCTGTGTTAACATCTTTTATGTTGGCCCAACACGATTCTTCCAGTGTGGCCCAGGGAAGCCAAAAGATTGGACACCTCTACTTTAGAGATTTCAGATAGCTTTTCTTGTTTAGTAGATAACTCAAGGTGACTATTTTGATGTTTTAATTAACCTATAATGTGAGTGGGAATGTAATGTGAAGTCTCCTAGTCAAAATAATAAAAAGCAAGATAAGATCTGCAAGTTTAATGAAGAGAAAATAGGACCACATTTTCTTTTCTTTTTTTTTTTTTTTTGAGACGGAGTCTCGCTCTTGTTACCCAGGCTGGAGTGCAATGGCGCCATCTCGGCTCACCGCAACCTCCGCCTCCTGGGTTCAGGCAATTCTCCTGCCTCAGCCTCCTGAGTAGCTGGGATTATAGGCACGCACCACCATGCCCAGCTAATTTTTTGTATTTTTAGTAGAGACGGGGTTTCACCATGTTGACCAGGTTGGTCTCGATCTCTCGACCTCGTGATCCACCCGCCTCGGCCTCCCAAAGTGCTGGGATTACAGGCTTGAGCCACCGCGCCCGGCCAGGACCACATATTCTAATGTATTCCAGAACCTATAGTGGAAAATTGTTTTTTGTTTTGTTTGCCAGGCTGGAGTGCAGGGGCGCCATCTTGGCTAACTGCACCTTCCTCCTCCCGGGTTCAAGCATTTCTCCTGTCTCAGCCTCCTGAGTAGCTGGGACTACAGGTGTGCACCACCACTCCCAGCTAATTTTTGTAGTTTCAGTAGAGATGGAATTTCACCATGTTGGCCAGGATGATCTCAATCTCTTGACCTTGTGATCCGCCCGTCTTGGCCTCCCAAAGCGCTAGGAATATAGGCATGAGCCACTGGGCCTAGCTGGAAAATTGTTTTAAGAACTATATGACTCTGAGAAGCTTATGAAATACTAATGAAGATTTGATGAACTCTCAAACTAAGTGTTTGTTTGCTAGAAATACAATTCTTGGGAAGAAAAAAGGGGCTTCAGGGCCGGGCGCGGTGGCTCAAGCCTGTAATCCTAGCACTTTGGGAGGCTAAGGCGGGTGGATCACAAGGTCAAGAGATCGAGACCATCCTGATGGTGAAACCCTGTCTCTACTAAAAATACAAAAAATTAGCTGGGCATGGTGGTGCGTGCTTGCAATCCCAGCTACTCAGGAAGCTGAGGCAGGAGAATTGCCTGAACCAAGGAGGCGGAGGTTGCGGTGAGCCGAGATCGTACCATTGCACTCCAGCCTGGGTAACAAGAGCAAAACTCTGTCTCAAAAAAAAAAAGTGGGGGGGCTTCTATGGCAGGGTGTGGTGGCTCACATCTGTAATCCCAGCACTTTGGAGGCTGAGGTGGGCGGGTCATTGAAGTCAGGAGTTTGAGACCAGCCTGGCCAGCATGGTGAAACCTCATCTCTACTAAAAATATAAAAAACATTAGCTGGGTGTGGTGGTGGACGCCTGTAGTCCCAGCTACTTGGGAGGCTGAGGCAGGAGAATGACTTGAACGTGGGAGGTAGAAGTTGCAGTGAGCTGAGATTACACCACTGCACTCCATCCTGAGCGACATAGCAAGACACCATCTCAAAAAAAAGAAGTTGGTTGGGGGAGGCTTCTGTTGTGAGTGGCACACATAGGGCATTGTTTGCTCTTTGTGGAGAATCAACATCAAGAGATTTCAGAAGCATGATTTTTTGGTATTTGGGTAGCTGGTGATCATTGGTCCTGGAGCCCTTATTTGTTGTATAAGTTAGACAGTTGTGACTTTTTTTGTGTGTGTGTGGCAAAGTCTTGTTCTGTCACCCAGGTTGGAGTGTAGTAGTGTGATCTCAGCTCACTGCATCTCCTCCTCCTGGGGTCAAGTGATTCTAGTACCTCAGCCTCCCAAATAGCTGGGACTGTAGGTTTACCACCACACCCAACTAATTTTTGTATTTTTAGTAGAGATGGGGTTTCGCCATGTTGGCCAGGCTGGTCTTGAACTCCTGGCCTCAGTGGTCTGCCCACCTCAACCTCCCAAAGTGCTTGGATTACAAGCGTGAGCCACCACAGCTGGCTGACAGTCATGGCCTTCTGAGTAAATCCAGGTTTCTGGTTTCTGCTCCCTCTTAGGGCTCTGTGGTGTGATGCACTGTTTATAGGTTTTGTGATTATGTGGTTTGTTTTATTAAATGTTGTGGGTGATTATAACACAAGGACAAACATTTTGTGTATGTAAGTATAGAAAACATACATTAAAGATCTCTATAAATGACAAGAAATTCGGCAGGGCATGGTGGTGACTCATGTCTGTAATCCCAGCACTTTGGGAGGTGAGGTGGGAGAATCGCTTCCAGCCTGGGAGGTCTTGGCTGCAATTAGCCATGAGTGGCTCGGTACTCTAGCCTGGGCAACAGAGCAGGACCATGTCAAAAAAAAAAAAAAGAAAAGAAAAAAGAGGCCAGGTGTGGTGGCTCATGCTGTAATCCCAGCACTTTGGGAGGCAGAGGTGGGCAGATTACTTGAGATCAGTAGAGACCAGCCTGGCCAACATCCTGAAACCCCATCTCTGCTAAAAATAGAAAAAATAGCTTGGGCTGGGCACTGTGGCTCACACCTGTAATCCCAGCACTTTGGGAGGCCAAGGTGGGTGGATCACAAAGTCAGGAGTTCGAGACCAGCCTGGCCAACATAGTGAAACCCCATCTCTACCAAAACTACATGGCCAGACACGGAGGCTCACACCTGTAATCCCAACACTTTGGGAGGCCGAGGTGGGCAGATCATGAGGTCAGGAGTTTGAGACCAGCCTGGCCAATATAGTGAAACCCTGTCTCTACCAAAAAATACAAAAAATTAGCTAGGTGCAGTGGTGGGCGCCTGTGATCCCAGCTACTCAGGAAACTGAGACAGGAGAATCGCTTGAACCTGGGAGGCAAAGGTTGCAGTGAGTTGAGATCGCGCCACTGCACTCCAGCCCAGGTGACAGTGTGAGACTCTGTCTCAGAAAAAGAAAAAAAAAAATACACAAATTATCCCAGCGTGGTGGCACACGCCTGTAGTCCCAGCTACTCAGGAGGCTGAGGCAGGAGAATCGCTTGAACCCAGGATGTGGAGGTTGCAGTGAGCCAAGACTGTGCCATTGCACTCCAACCTGGGTGACAGTGGACTCCACCTCAGAAAAAAAAAAATTAGCTGGGCGTGGTGGCGGGTGCATGTAATTTCAGCAACTTGGTAGGCTGAGGCAGGAGAATCACTTGAACCTGGGAGGCAGAGTTTACAAAAGTGAGCCAGGATTACACCACTGCACTCCAGCCTGGAAGAGCAAGACTCCATTTCAAAAAGAAAAGAAAAGCAATTCTTGGCCAGGCATAGTGGCTTGCTCCTGTAATTCCAACACTTTGTGGGGCAGAAATGAGGATAATTTGACCCCAGGAGTTTAAGACTAGCCTTGGCGGGCCGGGCGTGGTGGCTCATGCCTGTATTCCAAGCACTTTGGAGGCTAAGGTGGGTGGATCACCTGAGGTCGGGAGTTCAAGACCAGCCTGACCAACATCATGAAACCCAGTCTTAAAAAAAAAAAAAGCCGGGCGCGGTGGCTCAAGCCTGTAATCCCAGCACTTTGGGAGGCCGAGGCGGGTGGATCACGAGGTCGAGAGATCGAGACCATCCTGGTCAACATGGTGAAACCCCGTCTCTACTAAAAATACAAAAAAACTAGCTGGGCGTGGTGGCGCGTGCCTGTAATCCCAGCTACTCAGGAGGCTGAGGCAGGAGAATTGCCTGAGCCCAGGAGGTGGAGATTGCGGTGAGACGAGATCGCGCCATTGCACTCCAGCCTGGGTAACAAGAGCGAAACTCCGTCTCAAAAAAAAAAAAAAAAAACTAGCCTGGGCAATATAGCCAGTCCCCAGTCTCTACAAAGGATAGAAAAATTAGCAGACATGTTTGTGCATACCTGTGGTCCCAGTTACTGAGGAGGCTGAGGCAAGGGGATTGTTTGAGCCCAAGAGTTCAAGACCAGCTTAAGCAACAAGACGAAACCCTATCTCTATAAAAAATACAAAAATTTGGCCGGGCGCAGTGGCTCACGCCTGTAATCCCAGCACTTTGGGAGGCCGAGGCAGGTGGATCACGAGGTCAAGAGATCGAGACCATCCTGGTCAACATGGTGAAACCCCGTCTCTACTAAAAATACAAAAAATTAGCTGGGCATGGTTGCGCGTGCCTGTAATCCCAGCTACTCAGGAGGCTGAGGCAGGAGAATTGCCTGAACCCAGAAGGCGGAGGTTGCGGTGAGCCGAGATCGCGCCATTGCACTCCAGCGTGGGTAACGAGCGAAACTCCGTCTCCAAAAAAAAAAAAAAAAAAAATACAAAAATTCACCAGGTGTGGTGGTACATGCCTATAGTTCCAACTACTTTGGAGGCTGATGTAGGGGAGATTGATTGACCCAGGAGGCTAAGGTTGCAGTGATCCATGATCACACTGCTGTACTCTAGCCTGGGTGACAGAGTGAGACCCTTTTTCAAAAGAAAGGAAAAGAAAAGAAATATAATTCTTTTGTGTGTGTGTGTGTGTGTGTGTGTGTGTGTAATTGCCTATGTTCATTTGTCTCAATGGAACAACTGCTTAAAAGAAGTGTGAATATTGTGAGAACTATCTTTTTTTTCTCTTTCCTCACAATCTGGTCCCAAGAATTATTTTCTTAATGTAAATTATACAGTTCCTTGGAAGAAGCAGAATATATACACACATGCATAGTTATATGTGCATACATAATATGATATGTTTTAATTGACATAATGCAATGCATGAGTTTCAACAAATACCTAGCTGCTTAACTGAAACCCCTCCTTGACATGCAGAACATTTCTGTCACTCCCGGGAGAGTTCTTTCAGCTCCTTCTCAGTTAATTATTCTCCCTACCACCAAGGCAACCATTGTTCAGCTTTTTTTCACCAGAGATTAGTTTTTTTCTTTTCTTTTCTTTTCTTTCTTTTTTTTTTTTTTTTAAGACAAAGGCTGGGCGTGGTGGCTCATGCCTGTAATCCCAGCACTTTGGGAGGCCGAGGTGAACAAATCACCTGAGGTCAGGAGTCTGAGACCAGCCTGGCCAACATGGTCAAATCCCATCTTTACTAAAAATACAAAAAATTAGCTGGGCATGATGGCAGGTACCTGTAATCCCAGCTACTTGGGAGGCTGAGGCAGGGAATTGCTTGAACCCAGGAGGCAGAGGTTACAGTGAGCCAAGATCGCGCCATTGCACTCCAGCCTGGGCAAACAAGAGTGAAACTTTGTCTCTGAAAAAAAAAAAAAAAAAAGACAAGGTCTCACTGTTGCCCAGAGTAGAATGCAGTGGCGCAATCATTGGCTCACTGTAGCCTCAACCTGGGGGTGCTCAATAGATCTTCCCACCTCAGCCTCCCAAGTAGCTGGGACTATAGACGTGCACCACCATATCTGGCTAATTTTTAAATTTTTTGTAGAGATGGGGTTTTGCCACGTTGTTCAGACTGGTTTTGAACTCCAGAGATCAAGCAATCTGCCCACCTCAGCCTCCCAAAGTGCTGGGATTACAGGTGTGAACCATCATGCCTGACCTTTGTTTTTTAAAATAACAGTTTTATTAAGTTGTAATTCACATACTGTATTAGTCCATTCTCACATTGCTCTAAAGAAATACCTGAGACTGGGTAATTTATAAATTGTCTCACAGTTCTGCAGGCTGTACAGGAGTCATAGCGGCGTAGCTTCCAATCATGGCAGAAGGCAAAGACATGACAGGAACTAGGAGCAAGAGAGAACGAGGAGGGGAAGTGTTATATACACTTTTAAACAACCAGATCGTACGAGACGTTATTTTCTTTTGTGAGGACAGTACCAAGGGAAGTGGTGCTGAACCATTCATGAGAAATCCAATCCAGTGACCCAATCACCTCCCACCAGGCCCCACCTCCAACATTGGGGATTACATTTCAACATGAAGTTTGTTTGGGACACAGATCCAAACCATGTCAATACACCCCTGCTTCCCCCAATCTCATCCTCACATTTCAAAATACAATCATGATTTCCCAATGGTTCCCCAAAGTCTTAACTTATATCCAGCATTAACTGAAAATTCCGAAGTCTCATCTGAGACAAGGCTACTCCCTACTGCCTATGAGCCTATAAAATCAAAAACAAGTTAGTTACTTCCAAGATACAAGGAGGGTATAGATATTGAGCAAATAACTCCCATTTCAAAAGGGAGACATTGGCCAAAAGAATGGGGCTACAGGCAGGTACAGTGGCTCACGCCTATAATCCCAGCATTTTGGGAGGCCAAAGCAGGAAGATCATCTAAGGTTAGGAGTTCAAGACCAGCCTGGCTTACAAGGCAAAATCCTTTCTCTAGTAAAAATACAAAGATTGCTGGGCATTGTGGCTTATGCCTGTAATCTGAGCACTTTGGGAGGCCGAGGCAGGTGGCTCATGAGGTCAGGAGTTTAAGACCAGCCTGGCCAACATAGTGAAACCCCATCTCTACTAAAAATACAAAAATTAGCTGAGTGTGGTGGTGCACGTCTGTAGTCCCAGCCACTTGGGAGGCTAAGAAAGGAGAATCGCTCGAACCTGGGAGGCAGAGGTTGCAGTGAGCTGAGACCACGCCATTGTATTCCAGCCTGGGTGAGAGTGAGACTCCTTCTCAAAAAAATAAAAATTAAAAAATTAGCTGGGCATGGTAGTATGCGCCTGTAACCACAGCTA